ATTTCTCAATGAACAATACTGGTCAGGTTACACTTAGGTTGAAGAAAAGCAATTCTAAAGAAGGCTTGACAAACATAGCAGTAATCCATGAAGTCTCTAGCTGCTAGTTTTAGCTACGTAGTGAAGTTCCGGATATCTTTGTGGCATCTTAAGCCAGGCCTAGGTTATGTGAATGCTCCTTGGATTATTTGACAGTCAGTAGTAAGAGTATATAAGTAGTATAAGGTTCCAAAATCCATCAGTCTAAATTTTGTTTTCTACACATGTTTGTTCGTCGTCGTATCGGTACACTTCTCCTCATTTCTTGTGTTGTTTGCAGTGTAATGACACACTTTTCAATATTCTGCGTTGATTTGGTTATCCGTCTGTCTTATTTTACGTGACGACGGGTGATGCACTCAAAATCGAAACAATAGACCACAGGTGCCTAATCTTATTTACCTGAACAATTAGTATAAGACATCATATTAAGTGTAACCCATAACTTATGAGATGAGCTTTGGCCAGATGATTGAATTTCACGTTTTCCTAATATTTCCTGAATAATTGATACCAGCAGGCTGAATGTAAGGAGTAATACTCTGTCTTTCGGCACCTGAATCTGTAAACACAGTTTGTGTATTTCCCAGCATCTCTTCGCCTAAGGTACATGGATGTAAATAATAGTGCCAGTGCCTTACTCAAAACTATTTGAAAAGAATTAACCTAGTTCGTTGCAAAACTGTAATATATATATATATATATATATGTATACATGGTGATGTTACTACATTGAACGGTAAACACCAAAAGGAAATTGAAGTGTTTTTTATTCACGCAAAACCCAAGCAGTTGATTAGACACTTAACCCTAGATAGGATTTATAGTTGAAGTGATGTCACGTTCACATCTCTTCCCTATACATTTGCAGAGTCCCCAATGAATCTCAAATTGAAAATCCATTTACCTTCTATTGGTGGTTCTCCCACTCGTGACGATGCAGGTTTCAAGTGTCCATTACCCCCAAAATGTGGAAATCTCGCCGACAATATACTTCACTCTTCTGCGAATATTAATGCCAAAGTAAGCTGTCTTAGTCTTTAGTTTTCGAAATTAATATCCCTGACAGGGTCTAGAAGTGGCGACAGAGTGAAAACCTATTATATTTTAACTGTGGTTTGAACTACACCAATACCTTGGTTACCCCTTGACAACAACAAATGCACATATTTTTATTCCAAAATGCGGACGATGTTCTTGTTGGCATATTTTTCATTTTTTTTGAATCACCTTTATTTTTCATGCAGTGTTCCTACGTTTTAATTCCAATGGTCGACCTCGTACATTGCGTCTTCTCTGGTCTTCGGACTAGATATTTTCTAACAAAAGGAAAAAAGCGACGTAACTGCAGATGAGAACATTGAAAACGTTGGTGTTTAATACATCCGGGAACATATATAAAGAATATGGTTACTTGATCATCTGCAGTTACGTCGCTTTTTTCCTTTCGTTAGAAAATATCTAGTCCGAAGACCAGAGAAGACGCAATGTACGAGGTCGACCATTGGAATTAAAACGTAGGAACACTGCATGAAAAATAAAGGTGATTCAAAAAAAATGAAAAATATGCCAACAAGAACATCGTCCGCATTTTGGAATAAAAATATGTGCATTTGTTGTTGTCAAGGGGTAACCAAGGTATTGGTGTAGTTCAAACCACAGTTAAAACATAATAGGTTTTCATTCTGTCGCCACTTCCAGACCCTGTCAGGGATATTAATTTCGAAAACTAAAGACTAAGACAGCTTACTTTGGCATTAATATTCGCAGAAGAGTGAAGTATATTGTCGGCGAGATTTCCACATTTTGGGGGTAATGGACACTTGAAACCTGCATCGTCACGAGTGGGAGAACCACCAATAGAAGGTAAATGGATTTTCAATTTGAGATTCTTTGGGGACTCTGCAAATGTATAGGGAAGAGATGTGAATGTGACTTCAACTATCACTTCAACTATAAATCCTATCTAGGGTTAAGTGCCTAATCAACTGCTTGGGTTTTGCGTGAATAAAAAACACTTCAATTTCCTTTTGGTGTTTACCGTTCAATGTAGTAACATCACCATGTATACATATATATACATATATATATATATATATTACAGTTTTGCAACGAACTAGGTTAATTCTTTTCAAATAGTTTTGAGTAAGGCACTGGCACTATTATTTACATCCATGTACCTTAGGCGAAGAGATGCTGGGAAATACACAAACTGTGTTTACAGATTCAGGTGCCGAAAGACAGAGTATTACTTCTTACATTCAGCCTGCTGGTATCAATTATTCAGGAAATATTAGGAAAACGTGAAATTCAATCATCTGGCCAAAGCTCATCTCATAAGTTATGGGTTACACTTAATATGATGTCTTATACTAATTGTTCAGGTAAATAAGATTAGGCACCTGTGGTTTATTGTTTCGATTTTGAGTGCATCACCCGTCGTCACGTAAAATAAGACAGACGGATAACCAAATCAACGCAGAATATTGAAAAGTGTGTCATTACACTGCAAACAACACAAGAAATGAGGAGAAGTGTACCGATACGACGACGAACAAACATGTGTAGAAAACAAAATTTAGACTGATGGATTTCGAAACCTTATACTACTTATATACTCTTACTACTGACTGTCAAATAATCCAAGGAGCATTCACATAACCTAGGCCTGGCTTAAGATGCCACAAAGATATCCGGAACTTCACTACGTAGCTAAAACTAGCAGCTAGAGACTTCATGGATTACTGCTATGTTTGTCAAGCCTTCTTTAGAATTGCTTTTCTTCAACCTAAGTGTAACCTGATCAGTATTGTTCATTGAGAAATGCTCTGGATGAATATGCACAAAGAGAATTCATGAAGTAAAAAAAATATTAAAAAAATCAGCTCAACCATAGGAAACTTAAAGGTAGCATTATAGTCTTACGCGAAGTGTTCTAACCTAAAACCAACGGTTTGAGTAAAATAAGATGGTAACATTTACTTTTTTAAAATCTGGATACTTTGAAAAAGGGGGTTACGTAAGAAAGGTAAAGCATGGATAAGTTGATGATACGTGACTGTTATATTGCGTAATGTGATGAGTTCAACTCAAATAATATTACAAAAAGAAAACCAATCATAGTATACCAAAAGCGAAGAGGTTAAAGCAAAAGATTACGTAATCAAATATAACAGAGTTAAGAATTTGACTTACCAGGGCAAAGAATTTTTATATATATATATTTTTTAATATTTTTGATTACAGCTTGATTCCACACCGTATTTTTTTTGGGTACAGGTATGGAATTTGCAGCATGTGATATCGGTAGCCCAAATTTTGCAGGCCGACCATAGATATCAGGTGTGCGTCGGCAGGGGATCGAACCCCGAACCATGTGCATGGTCGGTGAGAGTCCTAACCACTGTGCCACCGACGCACAAGAAAGACCGATTACTGCTTCTTTCTGAACGCAAAGCAGGTTTTAAACATTTGATAGCTGTAGCTTCGACAGACCTGATATCTTTGAGATATTTACTTCATGACTGTTGAAAGCGTTACCTCCCTTGAGTCGTAGGCTTTTCAGTAAATATTCAGAGAACCTAAAGTGTGCTATCTTTCTTTTCTACAATATAACTGCTACTAAAAATACAAGTAAATCTGAATACAAAGTTAGAATTAACATGGGGAGACTAACTACTGACCTGTGATTGCACCAAAGAGCATGTCCCTTGGTAAACAGGATCCAACTCAGCTGTAGATTAGTTTATGTTATGACTAGTGAAGTGTTCAATCTTCTCTTGACTGTCCCAATAAAATTACCACCTTTAAAATCACCGTGATGTCTTGCAGTTATATCTTCAGCCCTTTCTTACTTACTAATGAATTCCTGTGAATAACCGTTTTATCTCAAAATCCACTATTTTTTCCAATTTTTCAATGGAGCATAATCTTCACTCTGCAAAACAGTTTTGACATATGCTAGTTTACAGTTCACCGAACAAAAACTAGTGAGACTTATAAATTGTTCATTCCACGCAGACTTTCACTGAACGGATCTCTCAAGCACTGCACGGCAAAGTCAAGAAAATGCAACTTCCCATTACCTTTATGTGCCACAGTAAACTCAGTATTTCCATGTGTATCACTGAATGGTCCAAGTAGATAGGATGCATAGGTTCCACTGTCACGAATGCGTTATCAACACATCGACGATAAGCTGTTTCGTCGATTGCACATTTAAACATGGTGTTTGTTAATACAGGACCTAGTGGATTAACCATAGCTATATCATCTACTTGACGGTGGACAGTATTATCAAATCGGAATAGCACATCCTTGTTACACATCAATTAGTAGGGGTTTAAATTCCAGCACTTGTACAGGGAGAAGTCCAAAATGCTAACAAATAATAAAGATGGTCTCATGAATCAGGATGCTTATGATCCAGAGTTACACCAAATAACAATATGAACTGATTGGAAACGTTATTATGACCCAGGCTTTCAACTAACTAAAATTTATCATTCACAGTATATGCAGCCAGTCGTTAACGAATGATTAGGAATCTTCTTTGCAGGTTAATGATCGAAGCTTCTGATTTTTTAAAGTTATATATAAGTTAAAAAAATTAGTCCCTTTGATAAATTTGAATAATGCATTTGTCTTCTAAATGCCTTGGAGTACAATTTATGATTACAGCCTTCTATAAACTGACATCATATTGCCTTCACAAGTACGTTAAAACCCCTCTGCATACATGCCTAATAATTTTTCAGGCTGTATCCAGCTGTCAAGAAACGGACGAAACAAAATTATCTTATTCGGCTGAAACCGTTGTTTGCTTCACTCAAATTCATAAAGGGGAATAGGTGAATGAAATAGCCCAGCTATTAAAATACGCCACTGGGAAAATAAACATGTATACATACCAAGTTAATTCACTGAAAGATCAAGTTATCTGCATTCCCAAACAAACTTACCGTTGGTTACAGACGTCGAAGGAAGAGGATTTTCAGATCCTTCTGTCTCCAGAAAGCCAGATGGAGAACTTACGTCGTCAGCTGTATCGTCGCACTTTGGCTTGGTTCGAACAGTAGGGCGAAAGTGACGACAGGAAGGTCGGTGTTTGGGTTTCGCCTTAAAACCACTTCCCGATAACTTGTTAATAATTTCATGTGGGGCAGACTGAGCGGCGATGCGCCTGCTTCGTCTTTTGTATAAAAGCTGGTGCCTAGGAACGAACAGGAACCCATTTTAATAAAGGGTTTAAATTTTTTTCGAAATTTTGGGAAAATTGTTTCAATGAAATGTAACTACACCCGAGTAAAATATATATGAAATATTTTCACAAACGTATTTACACAGAGAATAGGGATTTATGGATTTAGGAGTGTAGGTTGGAAACTGTTGTAATTCGTTTCAATGGTGTAGCCAAAATACCGTAATCTTACACGCAGACACAAATCTAGTAGGCGAAACACGAATAAAAGTTTTTTTTGAAATTATCACGAAAATTTCCTTACATAACATTTTGGTAGAAAATACACCTCGCACAAGAAAGGCACACAGTTCAGCGACACAAGTCAACTGATATCAACTAGAAGTGCAAGGTAATTGCAGGTCACCCAGCTTGGTGACCATACTGCAAACCCGACTGAGAGAATTCAGTCAGCACCAACACAAAGTATTAGACAAATAACATTGGTTACATCCAAATAGCCAATTAATGTATTCATATAATTTCACGTTCTTCCTTTGGCATTCCCTGAAATTTAATTATTCCTTTCAATGTGAAATTTCATAACGACAATTAAATCAAACACTTTCCAAACATCATTACCTCCCAATTAAATACACGTATTCAGGCAAACAAACAACATTCATTCAAAATCGTATGGTGCAATAAATCAAGATATACAACTACAATCCATGTTGTTAGAAGGTAGGATTAGTTGTATAAGTGTTGATGACTAAATGTTTTTTTCGTCTACATACATTGTCCGCTGAACACAGATTCTAGATTGTCCTCGATGAGTGCAGATTTCCTGAAGTCTCAGTTGGGAACAACTATATATACATCTGCACTACCTTACAAACTAGTAATCGCAATAGCCATATCTTGTTTGATTCTCAAACCTCAAACTTTTACAATTCAGACATCCTATTTAACCAAAGAAAAATGCTTCGTGCAATATAAACTTACGGACTCAGCTTTTTTGGCAAATGTGGTTGGTCTTGCATAGAAGAATCTCGACAAGTAGCATCGTAATCTGCCAAATCATTGTGGTTTACGGCATTTTTAATCGCTAAGGAGGCATCGTATATTTCTGAAGGTGGACTGAGTGAGCCTACGGGAAACACACTATTCGTTAGTGTTGTTGATTCGGTGTTAGATGTTTCATCATGCTGACTTTGATCAGCTTCCCCAGATGGGGATTTGCGAGTGCCTACAAGGAAAAAATCGTCTTTACCTCTGATCGGAAAACCATACACTTTCGATGTACAATAACAAACTCAAACTTGAGAAGAAAATACGCATTGCAAACCACTATGTAAAAGCAGTTCATATGAAGTGCTAAAATCATTTTCCAAACGACTTAAAATCAAGAAGAAATATAAATTCCCAGGTCATTAAAATCTCGTTTGAAAGTAAGTTTCAAGGCAATGAGAATCCTGTTTAGTTCAGAAATGGAAAAACGCCATCTTGTCAATTTAGGGGACTAAATCGATACGATATTTTATGGATACCATAATATTACCTGTGATCAAACCTAGATTGTCTCTGTTGGTTAAAGTAATATCCATGACAGATACTCACTGACTTCAACGTAGAACTTTGCACAGATGTGCAGCAGTTCGAGTTGCCACACTCCATGTAGCACACAATGCAAGAGAAGACAGTAAAGAGAAGTGTGAGGGGAAAAGAGGAGTAATATGGAAGATGTGATAAATCACAAAGAGTGAATGCATCCGACCATGACTCTGTTAGTACATCTATGATGAATTTAAATAGGAATGGGGACAGTGGTCATCTGTCACGGGCACCACTGGTTGTCTTCACTTCAGATGAAAACTCTCCATGAACCCTTACACAGCTGCATGAGTGTGAGCAGAGTACTTTGGTCAGTATGATGTACTTCCTCCGCAATCCCTTCACTGGCAAACGCTGTCATAATACCGCTCGACTGACGGAATCAAATTCAGCCTTCGGGTCAAGAAATATGGCTCATGTTCCACAATCTGCCGAAGGGCGAAAATCTGACTAATATAACCTGCTGTGTCAGCAGCTAGGAAGTAACAACATAAGTGAACAAGATTTCTATTTGCAACCTAATTTAATCTTCATGATATCTTTTGGGGATTAGTTGATTCTCTACTTAGTCCTCGTAGACTTGCTGCTACTGTGATAGTATTGCAATCGCAAGCTGAAAACTCCCTACTCGACTGCATCCCACTGGATAGCTGTGTGCACGTTGTCTGGCTTAATGAATCTATACTGATAAGATAGTGCTTTCCATGGACATCTTTCCACGAACTAACAGCAGTTTCGGAAGGGAACGATGAGTTTTATCAGAAGCTGCCTACTTTGTTGCCAAAGCCGAAACACTGAAAAAGGAAATTTGAAACTCCTCATAAAGTATACTGGAGCATCTGTTACGGCTTGTACTGAGGAATAAACAATGGTGACTGCCTTTTTCAAATTTATTCAGGTGACTACTTATCACTGGTCAGCAATAATTTCACGCACATAGACAGTATTTTATCTGGCGACCACCCATATTAGGCTAACGACGGTAAGAAGTAAACCATCTGTAGGTGAAGAGGATTGCCGTTCATTCTAAAACATAAACTTGAACCTCAATCATTTGTTCATTCGTGTACATATATGTCGGTGGATGAACGGACACGGAAAACAAGCAGTTGAGAGACTTTTACGCGCCTTAGGAATCCGGATATCATACCTAGATTACTTCAGAGAATGTTAAAGGCTGCTGGTAAGCTGTAGGCAAAAGTTAGAGAATGTCACTAAGTATCTGAAGCTTTGTCCGGACTGACTGGTTCCTGTAGGCTCCTGACGTTGAAGAGCGTCGAGAGCTTATCAAATGAAACCTTACGAATAGTTTTCGTAACGACTTCTGGTACTAGTGGATGAGGAAAGTGTAGGCATCAGCAATAGGTAATACCTGTTAACCGTCTAAGCTCATTTAGGGAAATGGGCACTAAAATACCTATAGTCAGTTAAGCTGTTGTTTACTGTTTTAGGCGCCCGACTAGCAACCACTAAGTCGCGAATTTGAATCCTGCAGCCCACAGAGAGGCTTGAGCAGGAAGGTAGTATGATTAGTCGTCAAACAATAGGGGTATGCCAACTGCATGGAAACGCAAGTGGAAGTTGGGTGGGTAATATTTCCTTTCTTCATTTATGGGAAGTTGAGTGAGATTAGAGGACGATGGAGAACTAATACGTAAGATGAGAAAGCTGGAACATCGTACAGAATACAGACAATTAATAAGCAGCTGTACTACAACTGCCCGCCATCAAAACCCCGTCTAAGTTTCCTCCTAGTACAGCCCAAGTCGTATATATATATATATATATATATATACTGGTGTAGGCGTGATATCCAGTCATCCATTAGCTGAGATGTCGCTGAAAGCGGGAGGTAAGAAATGACAAGCAGTTATTAACATGAGGACCACATTCACAATCATCTTGAGCGGAGCACCATGGTTAGTCATAATGAGGCTACGCGTAGTGTTAGGTAAGAAGGGAAAGTCCTCCAATGAAGTCAAAGAGCTTGAGTCACTAACTTTCCTGACAAAGTTAGGTGAAATACATTTTTTCCTTAGTTTCATGTGTACTTTTCTAGAGTGTGCGATTTTGTGCATGGATTCGCGCTGATGAGTCAACTGGTCTTAATTCTGCTGGTTCTGATAGAAATGAAACTGAACACCACGACATTCTGTAATGTTAAGTCGTAGGCTTTGTTTATTTAGCAAATATCAGGGCTTGCAGGAACTAATCACCTGCATGCGATCACATTAAATTAGTTTAGAAAGCTCTCACCAGACTAGTTATTTCAGTCTTGTTATCCAACTGCGACAAAAGTTGGAAAACCACAGAAAACTGCCGAGGAAGTAGTTATCGAAAGTCAGTGATGTAGAGCGTAATGCAGTTTCTGTTTGAATGAATATCTGATACAGTAAACAATAATGCGTATGAGTAAAGTACTTACCAGTAGGTGTTGTGTTGACATGATTGTCAAGGATACTCTCCGTCATAGTGTCTTGGACACATGGGCGTTTCTTGATTGGTTGCTTGATACTGCTGCTCGAGGTCGAAACGGATGCACCATCTGATGCTGAAGTCTTTCAAATATCAAGGAAAAATTTACGAGCACAGTTCAGCCATAATTTTCAAAATATGCAACTTGCCAGATCACAACTGGTATGAAAACAACTACATACTTTCCTAGGGCATACGTAGGCAGTTCTAATGCACTAGTTACTACGATCGTTTATTCTCACCCAAGTGCACACAAAAGAAAAACAGATGAGTAGTTCGAATGGGCTTATTTTGATTAAAAATGAATATTAATACTGGATTTGAAGAAACGATCAGTGGTGAGACACAACAGTTATTGGTCTTGGAGAAGTCTGGCATTGCATTGAAAATTAAGTGCAGCAAGGCCTGCAGGTTCATTTTAAGAACTGTTTTTTAGAAGTTGGGTCAGGATTATCAGACAAAATTATTGCAATTTTAGTAGAAGCATACGAGTTGGGCATTAGTTGCAGTTTTCTCCGCTACCCTTCTACCTATATCCATGACGTCCACTTCAACTAATTATAATTGCAATCATTTTGTGCATTTCCGTTTAGTCTTATTCAAGGTGAGAAAATTTCATCGATTTTGTACAGTGGTCTTACATCTTAATTTTGATATTCACTTTACTGATTTCTGAAACATTGTTTTTCTTAGTTTCATAATGGAAACGACTTCTGATTATCACGGGTGATCTACAGAATTAGTCATACGAGTGTAACAGGCACTGCACAAGGAAGGATGTGAACGGGATTCACATTACCGTTACCGGCTGTTACTATAAATCTGCACTACTCAATACTACCGCAGTCGTATTGATGTATTTGAGTGGCACAGAACTTCTGTCCGATTCACACATATTTGTATAGACTTACAGAGGGAGATAGCCATATAAACGGGAATAGGTA